CATGGCGGGAAGAGGGCTTACGGAAATGTGTTCTATCCTCAGTTAACTGTCGACTAGAAGACACATTACTAGAAACGTCAGTTGTTACATAAATTCAGCAAAACCTGTGTATTTATTTAACCCAGAAGAAATGGTTGCCGATCACAGTGATCGCGCGGTCTAAGGCATGAACTGTCTTCGCCCACTCAGACACTGGGATTGTGGGTTCGCATCCCATTAGAGGCATTGATATCTGTGTTTGTTTATTCTGTAGTATTTTTTTATTGCTAGTGGGGTGGGACTAAGTCCCTTGTACTGCGGCCACTTCTGGCCTATTGTACCCGCCCAAGATGATAGGTGAGGGTGATTTTGGAGCAATTGGTGGAATGAAGATTGGCAGGGGAAACCGAAGTACTCGGAGAAAACCTGCCCCAGCGCAACTTTGTCCACCATAAATCCCACTTGACCAGATCCCGGGATAGAACCCGGGCCGCCGCGATGGGAAGCCAGCGCCTAACCACTTGAGCTATGGCGCGGCCTATTCTGTGTGTAGGTAGCGGCCTTGCGACGGGCTGATCCCCCTTCCAAGGAGTCCTACCGACTGTGCATAGATTAAGAAACTGAAAAAGCGGCCAAGTTCCACAAGGACTGTAGAGCCATAGATAGATAGATAGAAGAAATGGCTATTTAGTTTGTAATTCATGTTTGAGTTGTCTTTGCCAGAAGTCCCTGCTTTTGCGTTTAATAATCATGAAGATTACATATTTCTCAGCAAAATATTTAAAAGTTTCTACGCGCGTTTACATAACAATTATGAAACACATTCAGAACACAATAAAGCCTACTACTCGTACAAAGGCTTAGATAAAGTTTAATTTAGCGAAGAGGGTCTGCAGTAAATGCGGTCAGCAAGTTATTTTGCGCGTTGCTTCGCGACGCCGTCAGTAGCGCCGAACAGTACGTTGACAAATTGGAAATGATTTGGTATGACGCGAAGCGGTAAGGGTCTAATAAACGTAGTAAAACAGATAAAGCTACCCCTGTAACAGCCCGTGGAGGCCGATCGTTGGATAATTTTATTGTGGCTAGTTTCGGAAGAAAAGAAGATTACACGAGAATGAACTTGACATTAATCTAAATTTTGTGCGAAGTTGCTCAATTTGGTTCGTCAGCAATAAAAAACGCTTTTACAGCTCTGATTATGTAGGAAAATGGCACGAATTTGGATCAATGTACGAATAACTAGCAGATGTGTTGTCATGCATCCATTTCCGCACTGCAGACAGCTTATCGCTCCACGAAACTCTTTCTAGAGAAACCAGAAATAGGCAGACATCCATATAATGTGACTTTTTTTCCTGAGAATGTATCCCTTAAACTGGCAGAATAATAAGCTAGGAAAATGTCTTGAATACTGTGAACGACTTTTGTGTTAATTTTCCTTATTACAATACCAATATACAATGCATTTCATACTGCAATCAAAGTGTTTTTTGTATTTCATGGACAATTTCCAGAACCGAAAGATGTTACTTCAGAACTCCACTGTGTAATATTATTAGTACGTGTACAACTCACAACCGGTTAAAATCAGAAGGCATTCCTGCCCTCATAACCTTCTTCCCTAACATCCGTCTTGATATTATCCTCTCATCTCGATTGCAGCACCCTGCAGGCTCGCTGTGATGCCTGTGCTTCGCTCTGCTTGCATCCAAATACTTGCACTTTGACTTCACACGTCCTCTCCTAAAAGTAGACGACCGCATTTCACATCTCTGACAGAACTCTTCAAGGTCTGAGGTTCTAGTGGCCGTGACTATAGGCATTATAGTCTTCTGTGGTGTTCTGATCTACAGTGGATCATTGCCGACGTTTCGGTAGTAAATTATGGCTCATCTTCAGGGTAGAAGAGAATAATTTTCACCTTAAAGATTAAGACATCGTAAAAGGTAAAGTTGTCCCTGTGCTCAGCTAATTATGCATTACGCCATGAACGCGTATGTACAGATCCGCGCTTTCTTGACCTCGGCACTAGTTGGAGGTAACTGGTCAGGTTCACGCCCCTATAGCTTTACTCCCGGGGAAAGAGCCCGTTGGATAGGACGCTGGGTGGGCCTCAGAGCCGGTTGTGGACGACATGGAGTAGAGAAAATTCTTGCCACAATCAGGACTCGAACTCCGAACACCCAGTCGTCCAGCCCGTAGCCAGTCGCTATACGGACTGAGCTATCCCGGCTCCTCGATAAAGACATGTTGCTTTACAGTAGCCTCCCCAGTCCTGGTTGTTAACCCCGCGTTCCGATCGTAGGGTCTGCTGAGACATAACCTCAAACAAAGCCTCGATCAGCTTGTCTGGCAGAGGCCTCCGCCAAGAGCGCACTTGGAGCAGCGCACCTGCCAAAAACTATTTGAGGGGGCCACTCTTATTAATGTTACAAGCAGGTAAATCGACTGGGACCTGCTGAGGGCCATGGACTTACTAGGGTTCCAAACTGTTCCCTTGACACCAACTCCATAATGCAGTCACTCTAGCAAACACATTCCATAGAATAAAGTCCTTCAAAATCAGATTTCTTTGAGTTTCTTGGGGTGGGGTGAGACTGAGTCCACTTGGTACGTCGGCCACTGAATGGCCTACTGTACCAGCCCCGGATGATAGACGAATGTGCAGTAGTCGTTGGAATGTAAATTGGCAGGGGAAACCGAAGTACTCGGAGAAAACCCGCCCCAGCGCCACTTTGTCCACCACAAATCCCACATGACCTGACCTGGGCTCGAACCCGAGCCGCAGCTGTGGCAAGCCGGCGACTAACCGCCTGATACAAAAACTGTTAATCATTCAGCTGATACAAAAAGTTCACTGCAGGAACCCGTGAGTTTATTTCCCTCTACACAACAGTCCAGCACCGAGCCCAATTGTGAGCCAGTTTAGTCAAATACACCATGACACACTGCTTATTTAAAATTAGTTTTAATATTATCCACACGACTAAGCCAAAATATCCTAAGCAGTCTCTTTCCTTGAGGTTTTGTGCCTAAAATAGGTCACGTTAATATTACTCTCCCATACAAACCCAAGTTTCCAAGCCATCTCTTCGGCAGTCATGTTCTTGCAGATGATGCATATTACAGACACTGCGCCCGCTTCATTTCCCTACTGGACACATTTCATCTTTCTATATGTAAACATTTAACTCAACTGGATATAAAGGAAAGATATGAGGTCATTTGTAAAATACACAAAGAAGTGTCGCTGGGGCAGGGGTAAACCACATGTGACTGGGGTACAGAATGAATTACTGTCATGACAATTCCAAGTTCTTTCTTCTTCACAGGGTCGTCTAGTCAGGTGACCTGTAATAATTGAAGAGTCTGTCGTGGTGAGGATTTATTTGTGGTCTTCTGGGTTATGACATGGCGTACTCTGGTAGGCGGTTACCACCATTTCATAGGAACATACTGCCATCATATGCTACTCATTCATCATTGGCTTTACAGCCCTTTTTCGGGCCATGGCAACTTCTTTTCCAGTTTCGTAATCCTATACACAGTCAGTAGATACCTTGGATGGGGGACCAGCCCCTCGCAGGCCGCCACCTACACACAGAATAAACGCACAGAAGCATCCATGCCTCATGTGGGACTCGAACCCAGGACCCCAGTATTTCAGTGAGTGAAGACAGTTCATATCTCACACCGCGCGACCACTGCGATCGGCTTGTGATGCAGACTGTACACTGTCATAAAATATTGGCCGCGCCGTAGCTCAAGCGGTTAGTCGCTGGCTTCCCACCGCGGCCGCCCGGGTTCGAGCCTGGGTCTGGTCAAGTGGGATTTGTGGTGGATAAAAATGGTGCTGGGGCGGGTTTTCTCCGAGTACTTCGGTTTCCCCTGCCAATCTTCATTCCATCAAATTCTCCATCATCAGAATCACCAGGGGCAGGTTACAATAGGCCAATCAGTGGCCGCCGTGCCGAGTGGACCCAGTTGGACTCCACCTACCACTAAGCGAATTAAAAAAATCATGAAATATTCGTAACCACCTACCAGCGTAAACGGTGTCACATCCCAGAATATTAGAATATGAATAGGCAGGAGATAAATATTCAGTAATACAATTTATCCTACTGTTCTTTACTACGTGAGTTTGTTTTATTAATTAATATAATTACTTACGTGGAAACTGACCTACTGTAATCTAAATGCAATACTAAGTTCGCGTTTTTTTCGCTACATCTAGTAGGTACCACAAAGGTTACATGTGACGCGTTCCGAATGCTTCTTCCACAGCATGGCATTATGTGTGGAGCTGCGGTAAGTGGCAGACAGACCACAGCACGCGTGGAGGGGTGAGGGACTGCCCTGGTAAAGGTCAAGTAAGGTGAAGTTGTTCCTGTGCTTAACTAATTAAGCGCTACGCCATGAAGGCGTATTGGCGATTCGATGTATAGATCCACATTTTCTTGACCTCGGTACTAATTTGTAGGTGAGTGGTCAGCTTCACGCCCCAGCAGCTCTACCCCCCGTACCCACTGGATAAGAGGTTGGGTGGACCCCAAAGCCGGTCTGGACGACGTGGAGAAAATTCTTGACCATACAGGGACTCGAACACCGACCCCTCGACCGTCCAACCCGTAGCTAGTCATTATACCGGCTACGCTATCCCGGCTCCCTAAAGTTGTCCCTGCGCTTAATTAATTAAGCCCCATGTCATTAAGACTAGACGTATAAAGTTGTCCCTGTGCTCAACTAGTTAGGCACTATGCCATGAAGACATATGGGGGCGTGGAGGTATAGCTACACATTCCTCGATCTCGGTATTGGAAGGAGTCGTGTTGTCAGCTTCACGCCCCTGCTGCTTTAACACCGGTACCCACTGCGTTGGCACCAGAATCGGTGTGAACCCTGAGGAAATCATAAAAATCTTGCACTGTCAGGAATCGAACCGGGACAATCCAGTCCATAGCCCGTCGTTACACCGACTGAAATAAGACTGGAGGTATAGCTCCACAATTCTTGACCTCGGCACTAGAAAATTCAGCAATATCTCTGTTTGATCGATCATGGGGTGTACAGGGTAAACACTTTGCAGTATGGCCCGTGGTCTGTCTGCCTCCCAGGAAAATAAACAAACACACAACAGATCTACAGCCGCAATATTCAAAACACTGACTAATTCCTTTTTACATCCACATCAGTCTTCATATTGCTTAATGTTTAAACAGTTCTGATTTCCATTTGTCATGGAAAGGAAACGTCTTTCTGGATGCACAAACTTGTGGACATTTCCTCAGCGTCTGGACGAGTACTACAGACGGGGAAAGTCGAGGTAACTTTGTACCGAAATACTGAAATCACTGAAGAAGAAGCAGACCGGTTCGTTCTTCGAGCAGGCAGCGCATCTTGCTGTTCTGTACACTACAGTCTACGAGTAGTTGCCACTTGCGAGCGGCAGTGTCGAGAGAGACAAGTTTGATTCAATAGAGGAACAATAAATAAGTTTCAATAAATAGCTGTGATGTCTCGCTCGCCAAGCTCTGTCATGTATGTACACTATGTACAAACAGAATTAAGTAGTGTGACTCTGATTTATAAAAAAAATTAACGTTCCTTCCACATTATAAATAGTGACGTAAGTGCGAAACTTTGGCGCCGATGGCCAGAATCACCGTGACAAGCAATAGTCACTTTGCTGTCCCTAATGTTGTCGAAGTGCCTGAGGAAGGCATGGAGGAAGTGTCCTCTGACCGCGTCGCAACGTCTGCAGTTGATACCGACAAAGACGTGGATACTGAAAGCGGTGCCGTTGGACTCCCTGTCAATATCGTCGAAGACGGAGAGGCAGCCGCGATTATTGTCGATGCTGAAGATGTTGTGGCTGACGCGGTGGGGACTGTCGTAGATGCCGCTGGGAGAGATGAGGAGGCAGGTGATTCCGACTGCGTTGTCATGATATACTCGCCCACCCCATCAGTTCGTGTTCTTGCCCTACCCAAGTCTTTTCCTATTTCACCGTCACTAATGAACTTTTTATTCTTAACGCTTTTTTGTTTTTTCTTATTTTTCTCACTATCGTCTCTGAGTTTCCTATCCCCGTTTCTTGACTTCCGCTTTCTCGTTGCAGCTTCTAACCTCTTTTGGCACTGCTCCTCGCCCTCTCCCTGCTGGCACTTCTTCTTCCTGTTCACACCCCTCTTTTGGCACTGCTCACCCTCTTCCTCAGCCTCCTTGCATCTACGCTTCTTCTTCTTCCTTTTCTTGCGCCGCCTGCACCTTAACTTGTCTCTGCCCATGTCATCCGTGGCGTCATCCTGCTCCAAGTTGAACTGCAGGCTGCCCGGTTGTACCTGGGGACACAGGTGGTGGTAGCCATGGTGCCTCAACGGATGCTGCGCCATCGAGAGGTCTCCGCTCACCAACCTGGAGCCATTCTGTAGGGACTCGCGCACGCGGAGGATTCTCTGTGCGAGGTCCTTCACGCGGTCATCTTCCACGTGTTTGATTACCACCATTGCGTAGCTGAACAGCTTTCCCAGAGGGGCTTGCTTCTGCACCTGCACTTTCCTGGACTGGCCACGCTTGTTTAGGGCGATATACAGGGTCCGCCTCTCGTTGGAGTACTTGCTGGACGAGTATGTGATGTAGGAGTGCACGAACGTTTCGTTGAACACGCAATCCCCGGTGAAGTTCCTCTGAAACAAGCAAAAGCACAGTGTTCTGGAGAATTTTGCTCAGTTTACTCCTATATGCATGATAATATCGGCTACTTTATACAGTTGTTTTCCCCCTTCTGGATAGACGGTCACATCTCGTCTCATATCTATTTGTGTTATTAATTTCCGTTACCTTTTTAATGTGTGGGCATACGTATTTGCATTGGGCCTACATTCTGACAAAAAAAAAGTCAGGGTCACTCATACTTCAGTTACAGAAACAATGACAATTTTCCTTAACAATTATGAAATTCAAGGGAACAGCTGAAAGCTTCAAAGAACAATCTCTTAAAGCACAAAAGACAAAAGTAAAGGCGTCACCGCTTTCCTAACTTAAGAAATAAAATTAGGATTTATGAATCAGAGCGTAACAGTGGAGACACTGCACCAATTTGTCTTTAATTATAAGAGGAAATACTATATAATTAAACAAGTAACAATGCAGAAAATTTTGCTCCAGGAGTTTCTTAAATTAGAAGGTAAAATGAAAAGTTTGTGAAAACAGTCACTTACATTAAGTCAGATAATGGGATGCCGGCTGGCTGTAAATTGATGTTGGCCCTCGCCAGCACAATGATTCTTGGTTCTGAGTCTCGCGGGACTCTTTACCTTATTTTATTGTCTGACTGCCTTCAGAATCGTTGCTTATATCAAATGTTTATTAAATTACGAAACAACATAAGACTTGTGCCACCATATTCTTGAAATAAAAAGGGCAATAAAAATAAGGATAAATATGACTGTCATAACCTAAATTTGTTTTACTGATAGGGGCCACCACACACCGATTGCGTCTAGGCCCCAAAACTGTGAATTCTTCCATGTGTGTCGCTACGTTTCAGTTAAAGGAGTCATCACGAAATTACGAGAAAGTTCTTTATGGTCCTATGAAGAGGAATAACTGGAAGGTCACACGAATTCTGTCGAACTAAAGGAGCAAAAATTTACTGAAACCGACTAATCAGACGTGCTTGGACCAGGAATCATTCAAATCGGAGACCCTTATTGAATTCGTCTCGAAGTCGTAAGAGGAGCATTGCAAATTCAGACCTCAGGCTACCCACCGAGTATTATGTCAGGCACAACCAGATGCCGAGAGAAACGTTACGATCTATCGATCTATCTATCTATGGTTCTGCAGCCCTTTGTTGGACCTTGGCCGCTTTTGTAGTTTCTTGATCTTTACACAGTCGGTAGGACTCCTTGGACTTGGGATCAGCCCTCCGCAAGGCCGCTTCCTGCACACAGGACAACATAAACACAGAATAAACGCACACAGACATCCATGCCTTTGAGTGGGATTCGAACCCACGATCCCAATGTTCGAGCGAGCGAAGACAGTTCATGTCTTAGACCACGTAGCCACTGGGATCGGCTACGCTAAGCATATGCCTGGATCAAAGTCCAGTGAGTACGTGAGAGAAGTTTTGCTGGATGCGGAGATATGCGAACGACGATGAAAATGTTTTACAAGCAAGTTCACTAATGACGTAATGGCCCCTTAATTAATCCTATCAAATTACAACCGCTAACAGTGCGTGATGCAATGAATAACTGCGAATGCCTTGCCGGCAAGTCTCGAACGCTTCTGTCTCCAGAGATTCCTCCATTTACAGCTTAAAATCTGTTATATATATATATGCACACAGGAAGTATTTTCATTTCAAAGAGTCTTCCTTACTGTGGTGGTGGGGTTTTGAGTGCTCCTGAGACACTGAGAGCTATGCCAGCGGTAGCGTAGCTACTGGTAGATTCACCCATGCAGGACACGTCAAGGAGTAGGAGCCAGACGAAGGGCACCCTAGTCCTCCGGGTTGGGCGTGAGGCTAACAACCTCACACCGTAAAAACTAAACTCTTCAGAAACCAGATAATAAGCCTCGGACGGATGGAATGGAGGGGGCTGTTCAGGAGGCCAAAGCTCACCCTGAGCTGTAGCGCCGAGGGTACGAAGGAAGTGTCCGCAATGTTGTTGTAATTTAACAAGCAGACGAGTGAAAATAAGGGCGGACGCGCGCACACAACTCATTAGGAGCCCTAAAATGTTTACTCCAGAGGCACTCCACGTACACAACGGATGATGTGCATAATGATGTGCTATATTGTTATTGCAGAGATGTGTATGAAGTCTTCACAGCTGCTACTTAATAGCCTCGATCAGCACACAACAGAAACAGCCGGTAGCAGTACTGACAAGAAATAAGGTGCTCTCAGAAAAACTCATAGCATGAGTATCCTCCTACAGACGGGAGGGGGAAAGAATAGCGTAAATGAACGTGAAAGTATGATAATCAAACATGGCTCCTGGTGCCGGGAAAAAGTAATAATAATAATAAAGAAGCAGTATGCTAGGATTTCAACCTCTCTTCTAAATGTGGCTGTCAAATGTCGATTCGAGCCATGGATTTCCAGATGAAAACATTTGGTTTGCATTCTCCAGATGTCCGGAGATTTTTTTGCGACATTTCTGGCTATGTTATTTTGCCTCTGAAGTCACTGTCTTCATGCTTTGCTGCTCTGATAATGCCGAGAACAGATGCTGAGAAGAACATCTGGACCTAAGAGCGAGACAGGCATGTACTGTCTTCGCTCGCTTGGAAACCGGGATCGTGGGTTCGGATCCCACTCAGGGCATGGATGTTTAGTTTGTGTGTGTGTGCGTTTTCTGCGTTTGTCTACAGGTAGAGGCCTTGCGACGAGCTGATCACCCACCCAAGGAGTCCTACCGAATGTGTAAGATCTAGAAAAACCGAAGTGAACGGAGAAGTTCATGGAGGTAGGCCTAGGCCCACTGGGGCTGTAGTACCAAGGCAAAAGAAAGAGAGAGACAGAGAAGGATGAAGAAGAAGAAGAGGCGGAGAGAATGGAAGAATGAGAAGCATCACAATCTATGCGCACCACTGTGCCGAAAATCAGGCGCAGATAACACTTACGGGGCATATGAGAAACACAATATGTGTTCGAAATATCCGAATGGAATATGCTATTCGCGAGATCTAGGCATCGATAGGAAGATGATGTTAATATGTGGGAAAATTAGAAATGGGACGTGAGGGCGAGGACTGGACTCATCTGGCACAGGATAGAGCCCAGCGATTGTCGTATGTTGTGAACACGGTTCTACGAAAGGCGAGGTATCAGCTTTTCAAGAACACTGCTCCAAGGAGGAATCCAATCTATTCATTCAAATGAACAGCATATGCATTCCTCTGAGGCCCACGAAATTCAGCCAAAACATGACTTTCCTTTTAAGAATTCGATACACAACGTGTATAAAATGAACCCGTAATGCGGAGGACCTGTTTTTGACCATATGTTTTAACACCTATACAACCCACCTAATTATATGCTTGTGTGCTACAGGTAACCAACCTACAGCTTTTCACTCTTGTTTGGCAAGTCATACAGGCTACGTGTGTGGTGCGATGGACGCATGCGTATTAGTCGCCAACTGTCACGAGTCTTCCTTACAGTAATGGAGTAAACCGACCAAAGTGGGCCATGCGAAGTTCCTATACCAACGCGTATTTGTGGCTTTGTTTTCAGGCAATTTCAATTGAGAAATGTGATACCTCTGAATGTGGTATTGATTGTTATAAAAAAGAGAGATAGAATTAAAGTCGGAAAGCCATTTTTAAAGTAGCGGTGAGGACGGAGAAGGAAATTTCAAGTTGATGAATAATTTGTTTGTGGAATTCCAAGCGTGGAGACATAGCATGCTTGCATAATGCAACACAAGGCAGTAGTACTCGCGCGGCAAATCCCCAAACAGACGAATGGAGATCAGATCTATAGCCCAGAATGCATGCAAAGAATCTCAAATACTTCCAACGAGCCAGATCATATGGACAGATGTTCGGATGCTGTGGGTGGCCATTCTGCGTTGTACTTGCCCCTCACTGTACCAAGATATTTTGTAACTACGGTAAGAATATTGAATGACGTGCCAGAACACATGTTACCGATTTTCCGTATCCGAAATATCTGCCATTTTGCGCTGCGATACTCAACACACGCGGTAGACGCGAAAACTGTCGCAGCTGGAAATATCTTTACCCACATGACACACGTTTTGTAAGCGTGGCATTATCATTGCCATTGCAAAATGTTGGGTTATCACAGCAACACGTTGCATGAACGTTAGTATTGTATCAGGTCACGAACGAGTGAGCGGCATCTTGTTTCAGTGTATCGTGTCTATTCTGTGAGTACTGATATTTTGATCTCAATATGTGAAGAACCGCATATTATACACAGGAGACAGTTTACGATTGACTATTGATGTGTGTTGCTAGTGGGAGATGGCGTTAAACGTTGACCTCTACGCATCATTCGGTAACATGTAGAACTGAAAAGTAATATGGGAGAAAGAAGGGAAAATTAATAGTACACGTATATACCACGTGATGAGATGTCCAGCTGAGTTCTCTGAGGACGTTACGTTCCAGATTTTTTTTATTGCTAGTGGGGTGGGACTAAGTCCCTTGTACTGCGGCCACTTCTGGTCTATTGTACCAGCCCCAGATGATAGGTGAGGGTGATTGTGGAGCAATTGGTGGAATGAAGATTGGCAGGGGAAACCGAAGTACTCGGAGAAAACCTGCCCCAGCGCCACTTTGTCCACCACAAATCCCACTTGACCAGACCCGGGATCGAACCAGGGCCGCCGCGGTGGGAAGCCAGCGTCTAACCGCTTGAGCTATGGCGCGGCCCATTCCATACATTTACTCTCCAGAGAAAGAAGCCAGCACTACAGCCCCAGTGGGCCTAGGCCTACCTCCATGAACTTCTCCGTTCACTTCGGTTTTTCTAGATCTTACACATTCGGTAGGACTCCTTGGGCGGGTGATCAGCTCGTTGCAAGGCCTCTACCTGTACACAAACACAGAAAAACTAAACATACATGCCCTGAGTGGGATTCGAACCCACGATCCCGGTTTCCTAGCGAGCGAAGACAGTGCATGCCTTAGACCGCTCGGC